ATTGGTTCTAAAGCCAATGATAGTTATACCATGTTTTAACATTGGTTATGTATATTAAACTATCATTGGGTTTAGAATGACCGGCTCTTTGAGTTTTGGAGCTTCTTGAACCTGTAATGCAGGTGCTGTGCCAGCGTCTACCACTTCTGCTGCTGCGAGGCGGATAGGGGTGTTCTGGACATGCCAGGAACTAGGAATCCTGCTAAAGGCTTATGTGTTGGGGCACTGAGACGTCAAGTGAAAGAAGCTGTTTGGAAGCTAGTTGCTTGGAGTATGGGGATGTGAAGTGAGCAGTTTCAAAACCACCAGGGTGAGGATTAGAGGGTGATTCCAGCAGGAGGATTTTCCGGTGTCAGCAACGCCAGAAGCGCCGCCAAAGCCGTGGCCAGCTTCTTTGCGACGCCTGATGCCAGCACTTTTGCCAAGGCGGGGCCGTCTCCATGACTTCAGCGCATTGAAAAACACCTCTGGGTAGCTGCGGTCGACATTTCAGACCCAGATTTTGAAGCAACTGAAGGCATCAGCCGCCGCCGCAACGTTGAGGAGGCAGGGCGGCCGTTCACCTTTCAGCAGTGGTCCTGCTTGGAGGAATGACACAGTTGATGTTTGTTGCGTTTTGACGCAGAAATGAGTTAGAGTGGAATGATCCGGGGACTCACTGAATGGTGAGATTTCCAATTGATATGATGCCCTGGCTGTTGATCAACGGACATTTCGCTAATATTATCGTCACCTTTGAGCCCACGACCAGCGAATGGCAAGACCATGCAAGACCCAATGTGTCGGATGGGCCGAACAGCATCAGGCTTCAAACATCGACAAGGTGCTTGAAAGTCCATCTCTCCATTATCTTCAAAACACATCTTTTTTCGGATCTTTTAGGAGAATCTGCTTACCACGACCTCTTCACTTTTCAGCCCATGGATGGGTCTGGGGGGACCGTGTACCAGGCTTGTGCTGAAAGAAGACTTGCAGGGGACCTGAGCTCTTGTGGCTTTGATTCAGAGTTTAAAATAGTTTGGATAGGGCCATCAAATTCACAAGTTCCACTTTTTTGGGAAGATCAGTTTGGGTATTGAAAAGACCACCCCCATGCTTGAAATCGTTTGTAGTTGGAAAGGAGATGCTGAGATACTCCCATGATCTATGAAATTATTGTGACCTGGATGCAAAAGATCCCGATTGAAGCAGGCATCAGGATTGATAGCAGTGAAATTCCCAGAGTTTGATGATCGCAACACACCTGGGTCAAAATTGCTGGCTGAGCAACACGTAAAAAAATCATGGGATGGATAAGGATGGCGATGGTAAAAACGTTAGTAAACACCAAATTCCGAACCATACCCCGTTGTGATCCGAAAATTTCGAAGACATATCACATCATTTCACCATGTGGCTTTTAGGAAATAGACCTGCTGTGCTCAGGCGCTCCTCCCATGTGGATCTGCAGGTGAAGCGCTCCGAAGAATCACCGGCTTGGCAGGGTTTTAATCTCGGCAGATGTTCATTGAGCACCCGACTTTCATAGAAAAAAACGTGCAAAAACAATGTTTTTAAAAAATCACTAGAAAAAGCAGGGCATTGCTGTTTGTAACCAGGTGTCTCCACAGTGCACAGTTGATTAAGCAGGTCCCTTTATCTGCAGTCTTTGCCATGGATTTAGATTTCAACTCTGTGCAACCGGATTGTGAGTAGATTCGACAGCTTTCAATTTAATATGGTTTCCGAAGAGTTGATCGCAGTGCAGTACTGAAACATGACTGAGAAGTTTGAGAAGTGTCTGGATTTTTCCGTGATTTTGGCGTTGCTGGAGACCCAAGTTTCAGAACCCAAATCATGGCCATATCTCAAATGGGTCAAAATGATGACCCCCCAAGAGTGGCCCGGGTCGCCATATGTGGCCATATGTTGACCAGGCGCCTGGGCTGGGTGTGCCCTTTCCACTGGCCGGGCTGCTCGGTGGTTTTAGAATCTCCAGAATTTCCACTCGCCGAGTCGCGCCGGGTCGCGCCTTAATCGGCCTGGGAGGTTCCGGTGCTGATTCAGAAGCCCGTGCGGAGCCTCAGTGCGGGACATGGCAGACATGGCATGGTGGTGAGAAATGTCTTGAAGCTGATGAACTTCACCATGTTTAATATTTTTAATAGGTAAACCGTTGCGATAAAACAATGGGCATTTTTATGGGCCATTTCCCATGGCGAAGTGTTAAATAACCAGATGGTGGTTGATTCCTTTCTTCAGCTCATGTGTTTTCCTTTGAAGATCAGGAGAACATCGGTCAGATGTCCGGCCAGCGGCCAGCTGGAGCCAGGCCAACTTGCAGCTGAAGGGTGGCACTGTGATGCCGTCGCGGAAACCCAGGAAACCCATAGGAAACCCATAGGAAACCCAGAGCACTGAAGCTGTGGCGGTTGACTACCAGTCAGACTGGGCCTTCTTGAAGGTCCGCAGTCTCATTGCATAGCTGAAACCTGACATGGGCTTTGAGTTGGGATGGTCAGGCATTCCATTTCGATGGGTGCAAAACCCTATATTATCATAGCTGAATTTCCTGATTTTGTCCATACTTCTTCCGCTAGGTTGATGGCCTTAGCAGTTTCTGGCCAGCGCCTGGTGCCTCAGAGGGTTTCGTTCCGAAAGTCATTCTGATAAAAGAAAGCTAGATGCAAACGTTAGTGAGTCTGGTAACCCAAACTGACTTAAAAGGTAGGTGGTGCAATAGTTATCAATTTTTCAGGTCACCCAACAACGCTAGTCATGTTTGGTAACAACATTTACAATCCAATATTTTGGCCGGACAAAAACACCAGTCAAAAGCAGCGTTTTTGGGGTTGAGACATAGAGAATCCTCCCTGCAATTTGGATGGAGGTTGTATTGGTGACCTGCTTCAAACCGCCTTTTTGGGGAGGTGCAAATCGACTTAGGCAGGGCTATCAGCTAGATCATGGCATCTTCTCTGTCTTCTCTCAGCATTCTTTTTTTGTTCGTCACGTAGGGTGTTCCCCATGAATCATTCTGAGTGGTTTCAAGGCAATCTGAACTTGACCCGAAGCCTGCACATGAAACTCTTGAAGGCAACTATGATTCATTCAAGACGGCCGAGGCTTTTTTTTTTTGATACCTCTTTGACCGATGGATGACTGACATTCTACAGTGTTCTACAGCATTTCATGCTCAAAACTGGGGGACATTCCCTGAAATTTGGCCCTAAATAGGCCATAAATGGGCGAGGAAAACCCCTTGTCCCCCGTACCAGTACCGGTGAGGTCGGCCATCCGTGGCAGACATTGCGGAAGCCCTGCGGCTGGGAGTGCCCTGCTTGGAAAGAGCTGATGGGATGATCCAGAATTGTGATCAAAGAATATCTAGAATAGTCCAGAATCAAAAGATATTTAAAGATTTACTTTGAATCAACCATATATATATATATATATATGTATATATATATATATAGACTCTTTATTCTACATATATTCAGATGTTTCTGTTCCAAGATCTCCTTGAATAAACCGGACCCACATTTCCACCGTCGCACGTGCCACGCCACGGCCTGTCTTCGAGGTACGGCATCTCCAGGTGTCTCCAAGTGTGGCACATGCCGTGAGTTCAGATCCCAAGTTTTTTCGCAAACATCGCTGCGCGTTTGAAAATGAGACCCCAGTTTTGGCATCCACTTTAGATATAATAAGATGTGTCTAAGATTTTTATATACATACTATATATATATAGCTGGTTGGTGGTTTGGAACATGAATTTTATGACTTTCCATATATTGGGAATGTCATCATCCCAACTGACGAAGTCCATCATTTTCAGAGGGGTTGGTGGCTCAACCACCAACCAGATAGACATTTATAGGATTTTATAGGTAGATCTACTGAAATATTAACATTTCATCCCAAGCCGTGTTTTTGTTTGGTCAAATGTTCGGTCACCGTGAGGTCAAGCTATCCGACTCAGCCAGGCACCGTTGAAATCCCACCGTTGAAGGGTTGGGATGTTTGGAGGAAAACATGGGGAAAACATGGACTAATACATATGTTTTTATTGGGCAAATTCAATTGCAATACAGTAACATAAGGTAAAGCCAGTTAGTAAACCACCCCCCGTTTGGTTTAGTCTTGGTATCTAATTACCTCTATTTGGGATGTAAACCAACCGAACCGACTCTGGTTGATCACTGAGTTTAACCAGGTGCCACGCGTGGAAGTCTTCATCTCTTTGATTTGGGAGCCGCCCCTGGACTCGGCAGTTCTGATGCCCAGCAGTCTTTTGGTGACGGGTGGATGTTTTGATGTGGCTATGAAACTAAGAAACTAACACTTTGAATATGACAATCATATTTTTTTAATAGGTAAATCAACTAGAAATGGGCCATTTTCCATAGCTATGATAGTTTACCAAAGGGTATAAGATGGTATAAGATCCAATGGTGATGGTTTGCTGGCCACAGAAGAAAGTGCCCTAGTGAGGCGAAACTCCAGAGTATTCGGGAGGAGCACATCCAGCAAGTGTTTTGGGCCGGAGTTCGTTTTCTGCGATGCACTGGTGATGAAATGTGATGAATCATCATGGGGAGAGATGAGAATTCTATAGAATTGGTAATGCAGGTCACCGCTTGCAGGTCATTTTGTGTCCACCCAATCTGACTTGGCCAGGCTGGGAGTCATTGATCTGATGGTTTTACCTCGAAGTCCCCAGCCAGACCGTGTGTTGGAAGCCCAGATGGCAGCCAGGGCCAGGGCTCAAAATTGCCAGGGAAAACTATGGGAAATCAAGATGACACCAGTTTTCTTGTTGGAATTGGGCTACTGATACCGACTGATACCACAGTTTCAGACAGATTTTGCAATGTGTTTTTTTGGTGTAGATTGGGATACCCTCTGGTAAACTAACATAACCATGGAAAATCACTATTTTTAATGGGTAAATCCACTATAAATGGCCATTTTCAATAGCTATGTTAGTTTATTTACCAGAGGGTATCCCATTTTTTGGAATGTCTCCAAAGGCTGTGAATCACAGTCTGTCCATGGACTGGACCGGCTGCAGGTGGCGTCACCTCGAGAGGCCGTTTCAAAAAAAAACGAGTCGAAACGAGCCTGTCACCTGTTCCAATGTGGGATGCGGCTGTCACAAAACAGTAACTCAGGGTAGAGACTAGCAGACTAGCAGACTAAATCAGCAACCCTTCGGCTGTTTTCTTTTTCTCACAGGTGGCTGAGTCGTGAGTCGTTTTTTCAGCGCTAGGCTGAAGGCCAAAGGTTTGCTGAAAGCTCTCGGGGTGAAAGACTTCAAAGCTGAAGAGGTGGATGAAGTGCTGGAGCTGGTCATGAAGATGTGGGAAACCCATGGTTTTACCCATGGTTTTCCTAGGAAAATCAGCTACAAATGGATAGAAATGGTGGGTTTTCCACATCACACTTTGAGTTTGCAGCAGGCTAATCTTGGGCTTTTTGAAACGACTGGCGGGAGCTTTTAGGGTTGGAAATCCACAAAGGTTTGCCTACATCCAACTCTGAGTTGCTGTTTGTGTCTAGTCTTGTCATGAGTTGTTGCCAAAAGGATCCAGTGTGTTCCTTTCCAATTTTGTTTAATGCCAGACAAAACCCTTTATTCCAAAATGCCCTTAGATTCTTATCCATCATGAATTCAATTTGCAGATGAGTGGGATTTCACGCCATTTTTTCCTGGTAAAAAACAGGTTGAGTTTTTGCCTCACGCTGGTGCAGCAGAATATGCCCTGTGTGCCGGGCCATTCCCAGAGTATCGCTGCGATGTGGGATTTGCACTTAGTTTTGCCTCAAATGGTTGCACCCCTGGAGGGTTTAGCCCCGGAAAAAGCCAAAAAGACAATACACATGATTGGGACCACATGTTAATGTGAAGGGTTGAGTACCAAGCATACGTAAAAAATGCTCAAATGTGTGATTAGCCTGATACCAATCTTGGTTGTTCCACCCATTGCGCCCTGGCACACCAAGTGCCGTCAAGGCCTTCACTCCTTATCGTCATGGTCCAAGTCGCAGTACCTGGAGGACAACGGAAGTTGGCACCATTTGACACCTCTGGGTCCATTTGGGGTGCCCTATTTTCAAACAGACTCAGTGTGATCTTCTTATCCCTCGGAGATATTCACGAAATTGTCATAAATTCTCGAGATATGCATGATGCCAATTGATGCCATATATGCCATGATGTATTTTTGGGTTGTTCTAACGATTTTTGGGAGCCTGGGAGCCTTAAACCTGTGTTGGGCTCCGGGTACCCTTTCCACAACGGCGGGACGCTCCAGCGCCACGTCTGTGAGGAGTTTCGGTCAGCGATCAATTGCATTGGCGGCCACGGGGCCCTGGGCACCCAGCACAAATGGGGGATTTACAGCAGAGATACCCTCTGGTAAATGTTGACATAGCTGAAAATCACCATTTTATAGCTGGGTAAATCCACTATAAATATCTAATAATATCTATAAATCACAATTTTCAATAGCTATGTTAGTTTACCAGAGGCTATGGCATAGATATCGCGATTTTGATTTTTAGAACTGAGTTAGGAGTACCATGGCTACCCCATTTTTTTGGACAAGCCTGGTGGGAAAACCCCCACCAATCCGGGGATTTGGCTCATGGCCAAATCTGACGTCAAACGCGATTCGGTGATGTCGTACTGATGATGATATGTAATGTGTTGTTGTGTGTGTATAATATATAATGTGATAGACATTCAATCATAGCTCTGTTGGCGTTTTTGAGGGTAGCTTAGCGGTGTTACTTTTGACCCCACAGTCACTTCGCGTCGGACGCCTAGGTTGTTGAGCGACTGGCCTCGGCCCCTCCGACCCAGGGAGGATCCGCATGTCCATGTGCCAAGCGGTTAAAGCGATGGACGTTTTTCAGAGGAAAAACAATCTCTGGATTTGCTGAGGCCGATTTTTGGCTGTATACCATCTGGTAATTTAACATAGCCATGGAAAATCACCAGTTTTAATAGGTAAACCATCTATTTCTATGGGCCATGGCTTCTATGGCTACGTTAGTCATAACCAGAGGGTAATCCTCAGTCAATTTGCCTCAGGTCCTGGCCATTGCCAGACGTGTTGGAAAGACCGGCGCGCAGGTGTGTGGTTTTGATTCACGGCGGACGGGCAGATTTTGCCGGAAACTATGTGGAGCCCATGGCAACTCTATGATATTTGGGCGTTTCCGAAAATGGGGGCCCCAAAATCATCCGAAAAAATTACTTTACTTCGTGTGATCCCCACCATGACATTTATACATTTTCTTACTGGCATTCTATCTGACATATCTTCTGACATTCTATTTGGCATTCTATCTGGCATATCTTCTGGCATATGATCTGGCATATCTTCTGGCATATCTTCTGGCATTCTATCTGGCAAATCTTCTGGCATTCTATCTGGCATATCTTCTGGCACTCTATCTGACATATCTTCTGGCATATATTCTGACATATCTTCGGGCATATCTTCTGGCATATCTATCTGGCATATCTTCTGGCATATTTTCTGGCATTCTCTGGCAAATCTTCTGGCATTCTATCTGGCATTCATATCTGGCATATCTTCTGGCATATCATTGGCATTATCTGGGCATATATTCTGCATATCTTCTGGCATATCTATCTGGCATTCTATCTGGCATTCTATTTGGCATTCTTCTGATATCTTCTGGCATATCTTCTGACATTCTTTCTGACATTCTTTCTACTTTCTTCTGCACATTCTTTGTCCCATATCTTCCTACATGAGGTCCGGCAGGGAACACTGGGCGTGGATGGTCGTGGTTGAGGTCCGGCAGGGAACACTGGGCGTGGATGGTCGTGGTTGAGGTCCGGCAGGGAACACTGGGCGGGATGGTCGTGGTTGAGGTCCGGCAGGGAACACTGGGCGTGGATGGTCGTGGTTGAGGTCCGGCAGGGAACACTGGGCGTGGATGGTCGTGGTTGAGGTCCGGCAGAGAACACCGTGGATCGCGGGTCGCAGTTGAGCAAGGACGACGAGGACGACGAGGAGGACGAGGAGGAGGAGGAGAGGAGGACGAGGCAGGAGGAGGCGGAGGAGGAGAAGGAGGAGGAGGACGAGGAGGCAACTGACATAAAATCTAACAGCCCTCACCTGGCAGGTGGGGAAAAACAGCATGTATTCCTGTAGATTGCTGAAGCATATGGTTTTGGGGAATGTGGTTCCAGAAAATACCCAGAGGGGTTCTGCATCCGGTCAGGAAATGGCTGGAAGCCAGTCGTCTCGTGTGGACTTTCCAGCATTTCTTCTACATTGTCCTAGGGAAACTCATGGCTTTTCCACGTCTATGTTAGGTTAGCCTTGGGTAATTCATGCAATTCTGTGGTTTCATATAGTAAGCCAAGATAGCCAGGGTTCAAAGCGACTCTGTTGTGACCCACCGAAAAAACCGAGGGTCGGGCTTTCAACTGGTAGGTGTTGCTTCGCTGGGCACTCCAACTGGGCTTGGCAGTAACCTTCCATACAGAGAGGTGTCGGCGCGGGGAGAAATACCCCTCGAGTCTGAGGGTTGAGAAGGTTAAGGTATTTTTTGTGAGCCTAGTTCAGCCAGTTATATAATCAACTGGTTGGTGGTTTGGAACATTTTTTATTTTCCCATATATTGGGAATAGTAACCCCAACTGACTAATATTTTTCAGAGGGGTTGAAACCACCAACCAGTAATTAATGTTAATTCTACATGGAATGTGACCTGAAGTAGGGGACTTGTGATTGATCACCAAGCTAAAATCTTCAGAACTTACCGATTTGTGATGTCCAAGCAGGACGAGCCACAGGAAAAAACCAAAGCCCATTTCTTTGGCCAGGTCTATCTGTCCATGTGAGGTGAAAGTTGTTGTTTAAGAGTTTAAGACCTAAAGGTTTAAAGCTCCATCTTCCACACAAAAGAAACAAATAGATTGGAAATCAATCCCTGATTTTGAGAACCAATAGTTGGCCTTTTCCCTTGACCTTCCCAACATGTTGGAAGGGTTTTATGATGTCTTATGAGAAACTTTAGAGGAACATGTTGTGAGTATTGAGGACTAAAGACCATGGTTTCCTTGCATATTTCCCTCGACAAACCAGTCCAGTGACGGCATCTCTCTCTCTCTCTCATTATATGTGCTTCATGTACTATAGATACATATTCGGATAGATTCACTTATACTTATAATATTAATATGACTATTATTATTGGTTACACAGAGCTCACAGGGCCTTGTTGAGCAGTTTCAACCACCCTGGAATCGATTGATTTTACATATTGAGGATGATCATAATCCATCAACTGGGAACCAACCATGAAAACTTGGCGAGTTTCCCCATTCATTTCCATATCACAGGGGATGATACATGATGATACTACACAAAAAACATCAAACATCCACCGCAAATTGGTGATCTAGAATGATTAGATTGCTAAACACCCGTGCCACACTTCCATGAACCATGGAGGATTTCGATGGATTTAGGGGGATTCTATGACCAAAAGCCCGAAAAGCCATCCGAAAACCACGGCGGATACGTTTTTTTCCACGTCGCGCCATCATGGCGCCTCCCGGGGTTCCCAATGGGTTCCCAGTGGTTCCCAGGGCGCGGCACGTGGCCGAGAACCTGGGTGCCTTGGATGGCGCCGACCTCTCCACCACGGAGCTGCAACTGCTCAGTGCTCTGGCCACGCTGGCGGAGCCCTTGCCTCCCGGGGATGGCTTCGTGACTCGGAGGCAATCAATGGGGATGTACCCGGCCTGGTTTCTACGTTTACATAACGGAAAGATCCACCATAGAAATAGTGGATTTTCCCATGAACAATAGTGATTTTCCATAGTTATGTAAACGTTTACCAGAGGGTGTCATGATGATTTCATGAGGATTTCGGCACGGTGTATGGGTATAAACGTTTTGTCGTACGCAGATATGGTCTATCTTTGTTTTTTTTCGATGATTAAACCTCCCACGATTCGTTGGTACACATGTGGTATATCTCCAAGGACTTACCAGAAAACGGTACTGTATACACAATCTCAACATTGCCTCTGTATGCTGGACCCATCGCAACTGGGCTGATGGGTTTTAATATGAAGCTGGGATGAAGAATCGTAGCTCAAAAATGATACAAAAACCAGGGCAGTTACTTGGATTTTGACCCACATCTGGTTGGTGGTGACTGGAACCATGGAATTTTATGACTTTCCAGAAACAGTTGGGAATGTCATCATCCCAACTGACGATTCGTCATATTTTTCAGAGGGGTTGGTTGAAACCACCAACCAGACATCCTGTTGATTGCAACGTTTCAACATGGACCGTACTGAGGCTCACCCATACGAGAAGATGCCCATTGCACCAAGACTTGGAGAGCTTTAGCCGTGAGGAAAAGCGCTGGGCCTGTTTTTTGGGATGGCCTTAAAACAGTGGCGAAAAAACGATGGTTTATGGTAGATATAACAAACTAGTTAATGATGTTCATGGGGGTTATAGTCTATATAGTGGTTTATAAACCAACTTATAACTTATATAACAGTGGGGCCCCATCCTGTGGACATACATGGGAATTGCTTGGTATTCGCAGAACTGATCCTGAGCGGCGGCACCTCATGGATTGAAAAAAAACCCTTTGTTTTCCTTCATCAGTTGTCTATCTTCTCCAGTTCCGGCATTGAATGGCTGGAATTGTAGCTTCAATGTTTTTGTTCAGTGCCTTGCCAGTTGGACTTCGACTCTTGGCTTCTTGACTTAATGATCAAGATGCATTGGTGGCACGTCACTTCTAACAGCAGTGGCACCTGGACTTCCTGACACGGGCACCGAATGGCCACGCTTTGTTACTCCCGCAGCTTTTGAAACTTGCTTGCAGGCTGCACATACCAAGACTTGCAATGCCAGTCCATGTCCACAGCTGTAAGCTAGGCATGCTGCCACCTCAAATTCAGCATCTTGTTGGTGCTCCCCAGATCATTCAGCCACAGCATCTCTAAATGCCAGTCTTTGAACCATGTTGGACACTTGCTGTGAACATCAAGTCAAATCTCAGCGTGATTTTTCCGTAGAGGTGTCCCCAATAGGGCAAGTTCTGACGTCACGAATGAGGTAAAGAGATACACTCTGGTAAACGTTTACATAACTATGGAACATCACCATTTTATAGCTGGGTAAATCCACTATTTCGACTGGGCCATTTTCAACAGCAAACTGTTAGTTTACCAGGCCGGCTAAAGCCAATAATTCACCAGGCCCATGACTTACCAGAAATGGCCGCATCTCCACCTTTCCAGTTGAAACCGCCGCTCCTTACGAGGCTCGCGATGCGAGCGGGGAACAGGGCGGTTTTTCAGAACGATCATACTCCTGGTACCAGTGGTACCATACCCATGACGGATCCATGGTGCTGGTAGATTAATGCTAACATAAAGGGGGTATATTGATGGGATCCATGGCACACCATATATAGCAGCACCATGGATCCGTCATGGGAGTGGTACCATAGCTATTTTATTTTGCTGCTAGATTTGTTGCCGTCGACTCGTCGACTGTCCATGTGCAGACGGGTCACTGTGACGGGTCATATGAAAAAACGACCAGCTTGGTGGAGTCTGAGGATTCGCCAATGTCATGATGTCATGAGTATGTCAAATCCTGTTCCTGCCTCAGGGATTGGCATAAGAGCTCACAACATTGCGAAACTAGGAAGCGGCAGATTCACACGCTGCATTCCATGTGGTCTCAAGAATGTGTCACACCAAAATGAAAGATTCGTGCCAAAGATGTTGAAATTTGTCATATGGGGCTGGATGTTAAAGCCCATGATATTTGACGAACATCCATCTCCATGTTTTGTTATCAACACCATAGGTATCAAGGTGTTGATCCTTAGCCGCCAGCCGCCATCTGAAAAACCGGAAACTGGAGGGCGTGACCTTCCAATTCAGAGTGCAGACTTTCATGGTTGAAGCTGTGATGTTGAGCTGTTTTCTTTGCTTTGTGATCTTTGTGTGGCCTGCAGTGTCAACTTTCATGACGAAACTGGAAGCATTCTTGAACAGTCCCGGATTGGTTATTGTGTTAGCCCAACATGGGTTGTTGTCATCCAAAAGAGGCCCAGTGATTGAATCCTCACAAGCAACTTGGGATTCGTTTTGCCACCACTTCCAAACCACATTCTGGACGCCCAAAAAACTTGAAATAGTCGCAGCTGCTTTTCGACTAGTTTCCCAAGCGCGGCCGAACTATAAAGCCATTTGGAACATAAAAAATCCAAACATGAGAGACCAATTATGACCAATATTTGGAACATGTTCAAATCTACAAATATTTGGAACCCGATTTCTTGATCTGTTTTTCTATATCATCCATTTTATCGGATTTTCCACTATAAACCATCCATTTTGGGTATCTGGAACCCCCCATATTCCAGGCCACATGGCTCATGAGAAGGCACGACCAGGCCTGCTGATGCCACGGTGATACCGGGCAGGGGATTTCAAAGCTTTTGACCCGAGCGACACCGTAGTTCTTCATGGGGGTTTCCCATCAATGGGGTACCCCAAATAGCTAGATTAGCTAGATGGTTTAACTGGAACATCCGACAATCACATAGGATGATAACTACAATATGGGGCCCCCAAACGTGATGTGAACGTTGGTTTAGATTCGCCCCAGTAACTAGTCCGTTATAAGATGTTATTTGCGTACCATAAACCATAGTGACATTGGAGTTATTGGCACCAACTGAACGCGATTTCGTGGCCGGGGGCCCCAGATGTTTTCCATGCGCCTCCATGCCCTCCACGGCAGGTGACTGGACCTGCCCTACTTGCAATGACCTCCAGTTCGCCCGCAACGCGGCATGCCGCCGGTGCTTCCCCAAGGGTCATTGGACAGGTCGTTGGGAGGAAAAAGTTGGATTTCATGGGACTTCACTGGGATTTCATGGAATTTCATTGGGAATTTCATGGAATTTCATTGGACATTTTGGGATATAATTGGGATTAAAATGGGATTTGGGAATTTAATTGGGAATTTGATGGGATTTTGTGAGGAAAAGGAAGTGCCATGGCATATTTTGCGAGGACAAATATGGGAAATTGGTGATATAAGCACCAATCATTGATGGGGATATTTTCGTGTTGTGGTTTTTAATGAGATTTTTCATTGGGATATCGGATTTAATGGGATGAATATGATTTTCATGCCATTTCAGAGAATGATGATAAACATTAATAAACATTGATAAACCATTGATTTCAAGCCATTCTATGAGATAAACCATTGATAAACCATGGGTAAATTCCGCGTTTTTTTTCCTCACGATGACGATGACGTCACCCCGCTCTGCTTTTTTTTTGGGAGCCCTTGAGGTGCGGAGGTGCCAGACCCTCCATGGAAACGATGGGGTCGCTGGCCTCAGACGTTGGCCGTTCTGCGCCATGGCTGGCGCTGCTTAGCGCCACGGTGCTTAGCAATGCGTGTTGGCCATGATTCATGCCATGAAAAATTGAGAGTTAGTGAAAAACACGACTCCATCTTTCGAGTCGTCACTGTCGATCAAGGCAGGCGGCACTGAAATTCTACCCATGTGGAGGCTGGGTTTTTTTCGGGTGTTGAGATCGATTTTCAGCACTTCGAATTTCTGGGATGGCCACAATGCTGAACAGATCTGAACCAGGTTCGTCCAGGCTCTCCTGTTCTATCCTTTGGATGTTTACCGCAACCCTGCAGCCACTGGATCAATGAGATGCCGATCTGGATTCCAGGATCGCAAAAGGGGTGACATCAGATGACCCTGTGCTTGACTCAGCCTGGTATACCCGGCCTGGTAAACCTACGTTTACATAACGAACTGGAAAGATCCACCATGTTATAGCTGGGAAAATCCACTATTTCGACTGGGTCATGGCTTCAATAGCAATGTAACAGTCATTACCAGAGGGTAAATTGGAGAACCACAGAGGACAACTTCGCCATGCCCTTGCGATGTTTGGTGGTGGACTGTGGTGGCGTGACGCATCCCGACTCGGGCCTAAAAGAGGCAGCAGGGGTTGGGGTTGGACTCCAAGATAAGGTCCTGAAGCATTCCAAAGGTTGGAAACCAGTCTTACCCTCTGGTTATGACTAACATTTTGCATAGCCATGGACAGATCCACCATGCTATTAAGTTCGGTAAACCATCTATTTCGGCCAAAGCTTCCATGGCTATGTAACAAATAACCAGAGGGTAAATATCACCATATTTCATGCTGATTCGATGTTTCCATATGTTTCCCCTGATTTGGAACGGTGAAGCCGCTCGGGATGAGCTTCCAGAGGGGGTCAGGCATCTTGTGGACACCTTGTGGTGGGTCTCCCTATGTTTTCACACCCAGATGTGCGTATTATTGTAATGGAGTTCTGTGATGAAAGTCCCTTTGTTTGGTTCCCATCGTCATCTTGGTCTGGTAAATCCATGGCATTCATTTTCTTCACATGTTTTCTTGATATAAACATGTGTATATAAACATCTAGAAACGAGTTTGGCCCCAAGTTCCTCAGCAATCTTGCTGGTATCAGACATACATATATATATAATATATAATATATATATTATACAGTATATATATACAGAATATATATATATATATATATTAATATACATATATACATATATATATATATACATATTAGACTAGATATAGAAACCTCAGCACCCAATCCTCACCCCCGCAGTTGGGAGGCCGTGCGGAAGCGCGTGGCCTCCGCTGATGCCGCGCAGGCGCAGAGCGCGGCGGCCGCAGCGAAGGCGCAGTGGAGCGCCATGCGCGATGACCCCAGGGCCACCAAGGTGGAGCTGAAGGGATCGGGGTTTTCCATAGGGATATTAGCAACCATAGTTGGGATATTAATGGTTATTAATGATGGTTAATGATGATTAATGATGGTTGATGATGATTAATGATGGTTGATGATGATTAATGATGGTTGATGATGGTTAATGATGGTTGATGATGGTTATTAACGGTTAAGGTTGGTTAATGATGATTAATAGTGCTCATTAATGGTTAATGATGATTATTCTGGGTAAATTATAATGACCTCACGTCGCGACCGAAGCCTGGAATCATGGTTTTTATATGGGAAATCATCCCCTTTTATGGCCGCAAGATTCAGGTGAAATATTATCATTTACCCAGAAACATGAATCCCAACATTTGCCCCATAAATAAATGACCCAGGATAATGTAGGTAAATATACCCATGGTGCTGGTTAGTATATATGCTAACATGAATGGGGTTTTTGTTGATGGGATCCATGGCACACCATAGACAGCAGCACCATGCCTGGATCCGTCATGGGTGGGTGATCCCCTGGCTCGCGGGATGGTTTTTTTGATGGAAAAACTGATTGATTGATTAAACTTTGGATGAGAACTGGGGGTATCCCTATTTTAGGAAACCTACATTTGAGGAACCGATTTTTTTTTGAATTTGAGACGAATTTAGCCATAGTTCAATCCATTTATAGCCCATGGTTAATCTTGATTTTAAGGTTAAACATGAAACATCTATGGGAATATCATGGAATATATGGATTTAATGGGATATTTGATGGAAAATATGATGATGACCCAGAGGTTGAACATAGGTATGAAAAAAATCCCATTGAAATAGATGATTTATGATGATTTACCTATCAAACATGGTGATTTTCTATATCTAGCGGCGTTGAGGGACTGGGATTGCGATCCTCCCAACCAGCATAGACCCTCTGAATCGCCCACTTCAGGGTCAGTTGATCAGTTGGAGGGATGGTCATATCCCAACATTTTCCAAAATTTGCTCATATTATCCCGTCAATGAATATGTATATATTTCATTAGACCCCCAGAATTACAAGTAACAGTACGGCTGTTTTCACATTATGTTGATATATGTTGATTATATCCCATTATAACCGCGTTATATTCCTATCATATGCTCATGTTTTGCTGGTTCCCGCATTTCTCAAAAGGCCATGCTAGTTAAACATTCCCTTCAACCAACCCATTGATCATCATATTTGGTGACAAAAAATCTTGACAAACCCACAGTACTGCCAGTTATATCTCCAAGTGTTCATGGTCAAATTTCATTTTTTTTAGGGGTTACATTCCAATTTTTGCCAGTGAAAAATTCGTGATTTTCTATTTTTCATGGCGACATATGTCACAAACTTCCTGGTGACCCTGTTGACCTTTGTCCATAGTTTTTTTTCGGGAATCATCTCCATGGTGGGCCAAGCCCATGATATTTTTATCCCATGAAGGATCCCAATATCCATAGATCATGAAATATAAAAACTGGACATTTTTTCAGAGGGGTTTTTCAACCACCAACCAGAAAACAGTATCCCATCGACAAGAATAAATCCATTTAGTAAAGTCCATATGATTTATACACACTGTATCAGATGGTTAATGTGAACCCCATTCTTTATTTTCCGAAACATCAACATTTTGTATATCCATAGATATCCATAGATATCCATAGATATCCAATATATATATATATATACACTGGTTGGTGGTTTGGAACAGTTTTTATTTTCCATATATTGGGAATAATAATCCCAACTGACTCATATTTTTCAGAGGGGTAGGTATACCACCAACCAGTATATATATATACCATCTGGTTATTTAACATAGCCATGGGAAATGGCCCATAGAAATAGATAGTTTACCTATTAATAGCATGGGGATTTTCCATGGCTATGTTAGTCATAACCAGAGGGTATATCCCAGTAAATCCCATTAGATCCCATTAAGTCACCATTGAAACCCATTAAATCCCATTAAATCCCATATATCATTATATATCTAATATAGATTCCATTTCCCCTCTCTCGGACTTTGAAATCCCAGGAGGACTTCTGGCAGCAGATCTCGGTCGCCTGCGGCCTGGAGTCCTCTGCGGCGGCGGAGGCGGACGCGGAGATTTGCGCCACGCTACGAGGCGAGGAACTCGGAACTCGTCGAACGCGACGCGTTTTAGGCGTTTTTCAAGCCATGGTGACTGGGGTCCCACCATTGTAGGAAACCCCGATGTGTCATATATTATATATATACATATGTATATATATATATTATGATATATGTATATGTATGATAGATGGATAAACAATTATACAAGGTGGCCCCAAAGAGTTGTAACCTCCCCCGAATTTTTGGCCTTTGAAATGAACAGATCCAATAGTGAACTTGAGGTTTTCGGGAGGATGTGAGGATGTGTTGTTGGCGGAAGGGATTCTTGTATATATATATATGTGGGTGAAGGATGAAGACCCAAAGATATTTCTGCTGATTTTGGGATATTTTCTTTTGTGAAATCATCCAGTTTTCGAGTATCCAATTTCGATGCACGTCCATGAACTTGGGTAACGGGATCGCAGTTTTCGGCACAGAAGTAGCTTTTCATGCTTTTTCATTACAGGAGAATCTGAGACCGTTTTCAAGTCAAACTTATTGGTTTTTCAGGGATTCATTTCTGAGAGGTGCAGGGGTGGAATCCATATTTTCCACAAGTCCAACACGCGGCGCCATGTGGACCTTCCTTGTGCTGGCCTTGGTGAGCTCAGCGGCAAGTGAGACCGCACGGTGCCAGAAGAATGGCGCCCCGGTGTTTCTGCAGTTCGGCACACGATTCAGCCAGGGATCCATGACATTTTCAAGTCAGGGAGAAGATCCAGATGACTTTCCAGAAGAACATCCAGATGTTCCCTACTGTTATGGATCTTTTGGTGCCGTGGCAGCACAGGAGGGCGAGAGCCTTGGCAGCGGCATGAAGGACGTAAGCTTGGCCGACTGCAAGAGGGCATGCAACAGCCAGGAGATGTCGGAGGTTCTACCCTCTGGTAATTTAACATAGCTATCGAAAATGGCTATTTATAGTGGATTTTCCCATTAAAAATGCTGATTTTCCATAGTTATGTTAGTTTACCAGAGGGTAGATTGTAAAAAAGATGGGGAGGCCGTCATCAAAATAGCCTGCGTTCCTGGGGAAAGCAATGAGCTTCTTACATGGGGATGGGTCAACATAGACAATTCTATATCACACATTATATATATACACTATATTATATAAACATAAATTTCAAATGAATTCTGATAAACATCTATAGTAACAGGGTCTTGATGTGAGTTGATCATTTCGATCATTTCGAGGACTGCCCAGGGATGGGCCATAAGTAGAAAGCGCAATGCTTGGGCTGCATGTTCCCCTGGTCGTCTCGTCGCGGTTGGTCCCAAAACACCCAAAAATTCACGGCCAACGCAGGAGGAATGCAGAAGCTTTACCTTCTGTGAGCATTGGGCCCAGTGTTTCTTGAAGAAACAGATTTTGACTGGTCAGGAGCAGGGCAATGTGGCGCGCGACGGATGACTTTTAGCTAAATGTCAAGCCAGGATAAACAAAGTCTTTGTTGATTCATATAGGCGAAGTAACGTCATTTTTGATAGACATTTTGGAGGTACGCGACAAAGGAATTTCATCCACGCCATAGAACATCTTATATATATATATATTACTGATCGGTTGATATTGTTAGCCGACCTTGACAACTTTTTTCCCAATTATGACCATTTCCATTAAATCCAGTTCTAGTTACCATTGGATTGGATTTGGTGCAAATATCAATATCTGATGGGAAAAGCAAGCATTTCCGCTTCAGGGGATCAAGTTATAAGATAACCCCCAGTATGTCATGATTGCTTGATGATAAATGACATACAAATGCCATATCCAGATATTCTTACTGGTGCTTAGTAGGGAATTTTCTGGAATGATCCATTTCATCACTATAGTAATAATCATCCCAGCAACCCCCAGCAACCCATCCATTCCCTACGTAAAACGCATCAGTAAGTATTTTGACATTATAAACCCATGTATCCCAAGCATTGTCAGGAGCCCACCAAGCCCAACGACGACTGCCGTAGCTTCTTCAAGACGACCAGCTGTGAGGTGGAGCAGCGTGGCCCAGCCACGGTGAAGGTGGTGTCCTACAACTTGTACTGGTGGAACGCCTTTGGGTTGAAGGAGAACGGTGCCACGGTGAAGGTGGTCAGTTGTCTTATTTTTATGTTTTAAAGAATAGAGGAGGATGAAATGGTTGTTTCTTTTGAAGATGTATTTTGTATGATGTATGTGTTCTTTGTCTGATATTCGAGTCATTGAACTGCTTGGGATGATGTACATGTCATGAACAGATCTTTATTTTTTTTCACATTGCAGCTGGTGTTGCCATGTTGTCAGCCAAGCTGGTTGCCAGTGATGTCAGTGTCAGGTCAGCCATCAGCCAAGGTTGGAAGAGAGATGGAATTCTGCAGAACATCAAATCGGAGCTGAGGCCCGACACCATTGGCTTCCAGGAGTGCGACTCTCCGGAACTACTGACGGGTCGGACAGGTCTGGAGGTGGCGTCCAAGTTCGCAGGAGCTCAAGGACAGGCGACGAACTCTTCGGTGAGTTCTTTGGGGTAAAAGACAACAGCCTTCAAAAGGGGGCAGGTTACAATAAGATGAATAGTTATATATCATTATCATTATTATTATAGTTATTTTTTGAATCATTATTTTTTATTATTATTGTTGATTTATTGTATATTATTATATTATTATTATTATTTATTATTATTATTATTATTATTTCAATTATTATTATAATTATGTATACCATATTGAGAACGAATTTGAAAGATGACCTTTTGTTGGTTCTTCCAGTATCTTGATAATTGTTGAGCCGATGGCCTTTTTAAGTGTCTTGTAACCAGAAAAGATGATGTTTCCAGAAATTCCTGAAGCCTGATAGTGATGGGTTCAAACCCCCATTTGATCCCCATTTTTGGATGGAAAAATCGGGGGTTTCCCCGGAGTTTTGTCTTCCAGGAATCATGGTGAAACCCAAGAAGTTTCGCATTTTGATGGCTGGCTCACGGGATTTGGAGGCCACTGGCAAGTGGGGCACCAGGCGCGTTTACCGAACACCCTAGCACTTCTTAAATGGTTGTTCAAGGCGGAACCGAAACTTCGCCAAGTAGTGGCAAGTCCCAAGAAAGATAGCATGCTACTAATGATGATCAATTACTTTCCTATTCTTTTTGGGAGGGTTGCTACAATGCTAAATATTCTCCAACTAGGGACCCCTAGAAGGGCTTACCCTGGTGAATATAGAAAAATAATCTATGTTGAGATGTTCGTCAAACCAATTTTGGGGTTCTGCCTCCAACAGTTCGCAAAGAAATCAGAAGGGTTCTCTGTTGCTCAGTACGACTTTGTACCTACTGATAGAGCTCGATCAATCCTTTTCGGTGCCTAAACACCGGTATGACTCTCACCAAATAAAAAGTCGCCTTGGAACAGATGGGAAGAGCGACGCTCAACTGACTGGTGCGTTTTACGCAGGGAATTTTCGGGAATGATCCACAATAACGATCAATAATCTTTCCAGCAACCCCCAGCAACCCATCCATTCCCTACGTAAAACGCACCAGTAAGTGCCATGGCCTGTGATGATCCAACAAGTCGCAGGTACATGACCTGGGCAAAGCTGGAGGATCGCAATGAGCGTCGCTTCTGGCACTTCAACACCCACTGGTGTGTGCATAGCAATGCCAGCCACGTGTGTGATGAGGAGACGCGCTACAGGGGCGCCAAGACCATGGTGAAGGCTGCAACATGAGATGGGATGAATATTTTTTTGCAGCACCAAAATTGGAGGGAAATTGTACCCTCTGGTTATTTAACATAGCCATGGAAAATGGCCCATGTATATATATATATATAGATGGTTTACCTATTAAATCTATTAATAGCATGGTGATTTTCCATGGCTATGTTAGTCATAACCAGATGGTAGATGGTTTTTTCTTCCTGTTTCGATCGTTGAACGAATCCCAGTCCCAGTCCCATTTTTTCTCCGACCATCAGTCTGGTAGACTTGAGCGCTTGGTGAGATTCATACTGAAGATGTCTGCAAGTAGCTGGGGTCGTTCAAAAACATCAGAGAGTTTCCACAATCGAGCATTGCCTTCAAAAAGAATGGGCCTCCGCTTTATAATAGGAGCAGCTGACAATATGATTGATGATTCATGATGATTTCAGAGGGCATGGACTTCCGTTATTTGGGAGGAATTTGATACCAACCCTATACTAACAGTTTATTTGTAAACTAGGTTAACGCGCCCTTTAACCGCTGTAGGGTTGGCTGAATTCTTAAAGAAGGTATGGTTTAGGTTGCCATCAGCTCGCCCCAGAAACTGCGTCTGGCATGGGATTCCCCAAACAGCAACCAGAAAGGGGAGTTGAAACTTGTTCAAGCCCCAACATTCCAGTACTGAAGAGCAAAAAAAATGAAGACACATATCATATTATAATATTATATATATATATATCTACACATACGTATATGTATGCATGCATGCATGCATATGTGTGTAGGTGTGTAGGTGTGTATGTGTGTATGTGTGTATGTGTGTATGTGTGTATGTGTGTATGTGTGTATGTGTGTATGTGTGTATGTGTACAATATATATATATATATGATTATATGATATGTAAATATGTATGTTGAGCCCCACATATTTGACTGGTACCTTACAACGCTGGAGCCACCTGTTGGGATCCTAGTTGGGTCATGGCGAGGCCATCCACGAGTTGGTGGGCTCGGAGCCGGTGATTGTCACCGGCGACTTCAATGCTGAGATGGACGAGAGAGGTCCCCAACATTTCCTGCAGAGCGGCTTTAAGCTGGCAGTGAATGAGTGGGTCGACAGCCCCTTGGATCCCCATGGATCCGGTTGAGGGTTTTGGACCGTGGTTTTGGGACCGACTGGAGTTGATGCACGGGGATGTCAACGATTTGATGACCGATTTCACGGCATGAAGAAAAACAAGATACGTTTCGGACAGTTGGTGTTGGTTTCAAAGTTAAGATTGACGAATTAGAGAGGATAAGAACTTGGGTTTGGCATTTTAGGAAGCCGCCGCAGATGAGTGTTTTTCTTTTTAAATAGGGGTTGTAAGCCATTTGCTAACGACCAATCCGAAGTTCAAGGATCATCGTGCCCTTGAAGCTGCCCTTGTTATCCCAACAGGGGCGAACCACAGCTGCTTTGTCAATGGGGTTGTACTGTAATCCCAATGCTGCATTAATGCTGCTAGTTTTGTAGGGTATAAACTTAGTAGTATACCACTTGGGCCACAGATCAGATGGCCCTTCTGGTTTCTATATTAGGGAACCTTCATATATCTGGTGAAATCATGTTTTTTATATATGGGAAATCATCCCCTTTTATAGCTGCAAGATTCAGGTTAGTGAAATATGATTTCATTTACCCAGATATATGTAATCTAGATGCTACACTTTGGATCCAAAGATCTTCAACCAAAAAATGCCACGCCGCCTTCGGCCCAATCGCGGCGAGGCATCTTCTATTCGAACGACTGGGAGCTGGTTTCCCAAGGCACTGGATCAGCTGCTGGTAGTGATCATCATCCCGTCTATGCTGAGCTCAGATTGAAGCCATCTCCATCTGCCTTACACGTCAAATGAGATGCTGCCGCCGTGTCAGGGGTGGGGTATCCGTGGCTGTGTCCCCAAAAAATGGGGGACTCACCAGTTGATGGTCTCCTCATAGGAGACAGAGAGTTCTCAAATAGAAATCCATGTCATTTGCCACCAAAATCCAGACACATCCAGCCTAATTCAGTCGGTGTGGCAGACCCGAGCCAGTTCGCCATGAGTTGTATAGAAGTGGTATCTCTTCCAGAGCCGAAATCCCCTCCCAAGTCGTGGCGAAACCACAAAACCAGAGGATCGTCTGAGCTTTGGAGCGGTGGACAATCCAAAAGTGTTGGTTTCCAGCTCAGGTGTCCCACACCATCGCCGGCTCTCAGCCTTCCAACTGAATTTTTTGAAGCCAGGAAAATGGCCCCGCCAAGTGCAATCCACACACGCTGGAGCAAAAAGAAATGGCAGGCAGACCCTGGCTCTGTTGGGAACTTTTGATGTAGGCAACATATGGCGCTTCTGCATGTTACAGGATGTTACAGGTAGGGTGGTTCTGAAAGCTTGCCCATGACCCCATGTGGAGCAAGTCAAAGGTCAGATTCTTGGGGTGGAGGCACGTTTCAAAACTATCCAACTACAGTTTTGTGACCGTCAGAGTTGGGTCGCGAAAAATATTTGAATCCGCGACCTAATCAAAGAAGGCATCCTCTCTTCAGGAGGATTTGGGTGTCGACACGTAGCGACGTTTCGGGTTTCGGTCAAAAGGGCCGCAGGCCAACCGGCTGACGTGCACAGTGGATAAGAAGTAGAGCTAGCTCTTTGCCGAGGGAAAAATGCTCTGTAGATCCACGGCAGCTGCAGCATATGTTCCACGCCACAGGTTGGGTGTCACAATAGCCCCGAAGCTTTCTTTGCGTTGGGCTTCGTCAGAAGATGTCGGAAAAGCAAATCTATTTCAAATTCCAGGGAAAGCACAAGAAACCCACCATTGACACGCACTTGGTGATCACTACAGGTGGTGTTTGGGGCAACAGCCGAAGGCAACAGCCGAATACTTCTGGACAATTTATCGCGACCTCTACTGAGCAAGCCCATTAAAATGCTGGTTGAGATTGGTTTTAGTTTTAGTCCATCAAACATGGCCTTCCATCTTCTGGTGCAAGAGGGGCTTGCTGAAATAGACTGGGCATCCCCCAGATTTCCCATCCAAGATCCAAAGGACGCCCCGGGATGCCAGGCTACTATCCCGAAAGTTTGGAAGTGCTTCGAGCAGCCAAAGAGCAGCAAGTGGTGCTGGGGATGATTTCCAATCATCTTTCGTTTTGGTTTCACAAGGAGTCGCCCTCAGCGCTTTCTGTTTGTTGGGAACAGCGAGGCCATCAAACTCAACCGAATTAATTTATAAGTGGGCTGACGCCCTGGTGCCGCCGACCCCCTGAAAAGATGCTTGACAAGGCTTGGCAGGTAGGGCGGTGTAGAACCAAAGTGGGAAACAACAGGAGACTCTTCGAAGGCTTGAGGTAGTGTGGGCAGGCGCGGCCTGTAGAACCATGGTGGCAAGTTGCAGCGCAAGACTCTGCAAGGTCGGGCAGGCAGGGTGCTTCGGAACCAAAGGTAATAAACGGCTGTTCCGACACTCTTAGGAAGTTGGGTAAGTGGGGCCGTGTAGAAGCAAAGGTAGCTGCAGAGAACGGTAGAAGCAAAGGTAGCAAAAGGTAGCCTCAAAAACTGCGAAGATTTTGAGCTTTTGAGGCTTTTAAGGGGTGCCTAACGTGCCACGTAGCAGTTTCAAAAGCCAATAGAAACAGTTTGCGGGGCCTAAGGAGGGACGACTATGGTGCCATATAGAGGAGCCACGTAAAACGTGCCATGTAGGAGTTTGCAGTGTTTTGGCGTACTTCGCCGGGGTTGCCTTCGAAAGCTGCAGAGGGCGTGCCTGCGGAGGGTTTTGAGCTTTTGAAGCTTTTAAAGGGTGCTTAAAACGTGCCACGTATAGCAGTTTCGAAACCAATAGAAACAGCTTGTGGGGCCTAGGGAGGCACCATGGTGCCGTATAGAGGAGCCTTCGAAAGCTGCCGCGAAGGTTTTGAGCTTTTTGAGGCTTTTAAAGGAAACCCACTAGAAACAGTCTGCAGGACCTAGAAGCAGCATACTTGGATGCCAAAGCAGGCAGAGGTGAAGCCACAGCCCATGCCGCACACCTACGGGTGATCCTAGGCGCCGCGGCGGATTACCCCCGCAAGCAAAACAAATGTGTGTTGTCCAGATAATTCCAGCTCAAGATTTGATGAGAATTATGTACATATATATATATAATATTTTTATACATATGGTCAGCGCCCCCTCATGACCATTACTATCGATATAGGATCGCCAGCCCCATCAAATAATCCCCCCACATGGGTGCAATGGTCTTGACAACTCCTCCAGAACTTCTGGACCACAGCGAAGCATAGCGGGACGTCAATAAATAACAGTAATGTTAGTAATGTTTATCACACAAATTCCACAAATCGCAATCAAATAGAAATCGCCAAAACAAAAACAAATGTTTTCAGTAATGGTCTGTTGTTTCTGCCAGAAAAAAGTATGATACACAGACTAAAACTTTCCTGCTACCTGCTTCGCACATCCAGGAATGTGGCACAGCCTTGGAAGGCTTGATTGATCAAGAACTGCTGCTCGTCAGCTCTGAGGCCATCGAACATATTTCACCGAACTTCCGGTACATGTGCATTCGCGAAAACAAATCGCAAAAGCAAAGACACGGATTTTTTGCCTTTTCCCAAATCCGAAGTCATCGATTCATGATAAAACACATTCCAAATCCAGGAATATTCCATTGATTCATGATTTAAAAAAAACACCCCAAATCCTGTTCCTGGATGTTCCTGGATTTTCTTTTCAGCTATAAAACCGTGGCAGGTCGCCTGCTCCAAACCCGGCCCTGAAATCTTTCAGCTGTTCTTGGAACGGCTGGGGAAACTGCATCCAGGAGACGGAAACATTTTGACTTTGGAAGTTTGGAAAGGCCTGGTTTGGAGGTAGAATATATGCAATTTTGGAACCTCGTCCCATTCTTGTTTATTTTATTTCAAAACTTTCAAACCAAATCTCCTGCAGAAATCTCCAGGATAACTACTGTATGATGATTTTCCATGAATGGTTACGTGGATGGTTAAACGAGTGCTTGCAATAAATCGCGGGGTAAGTGGATGGTTAAGCGGATGGGTAACTAGATGGTTAAATGGATGATGAACAAAATTGGGTATTTGATCATCCATTTTTAACATCCATTTAACCATCTAGTTACCATGGTTAAATGGATGATGGTTAAATGGATGATGAGTGCTGGACTTTCCATCTTGGTTGGTGCCCCATCCTCAAGAGAAAAAAGTCCCGCGGCTGGTGTATGCTGGTGTGCAAAATCATCACGTCTTGCTGGCTCCAGTCATTTGTGTTTTTCTACAATTGGGGGTTTCCACAAATGGGGCACCCCAAGCTCCCTGGATGGTTTATTTCATGGAAAATCCAAAAATTGAATGGATGATTTGGGAGTAACCCCATTTTAGGAACCCTCAATTGAGTTCACCATCTGGGCATTTCTCATAACTTTTCAACATCAGCAGGATCAAGGTAAGGGGGATCAGTGTCCTACAGGAAGGGTCACCCTATAATTAGTTATATGTATATATATATAGAGAGATAGATAGATTAGATTAGATTAGATTAGATTAGCTTAGCTTAGCTTAGATTAGATTAGATTAGATGGATAGATAGATAGATAGATATGTATGTTGGTTTTTGTTCACCTCACTGTAACACTGTAGAAATATCATTTAATATATCCATTCATGGCGGATTTCATGAGATAAGCCGCAGTTCAACGGGAGGATGATTCCCAACTTGGGCCGTGCTTGCTACCATGGTAATAGCATGCAATTACCCATATTACCCCCAAAAGCTGGGATATACCCCCTGCTGTAGAACTCCAGTAATGTCAACTTATGATTAATAAACCCCAAACGGCTGTTTAATTGGGGGGAGTACCATTTATGAATCATATTGTGACTATTTGGAGGGTACCACCACAATTAATAAACCATGGTTTATTAATCCGGAGTTGACATTATGTATACATATTTATCATATATATATATATACGTATATATAAATAGCCACTTGTTGGTGAAACTGCTGCCAGCTGTATATCTCAATAGCTCTAGGACTCACCGCTGCGGACTGCGTCTTTGTGGATGACAAGGTGCGCCGTTGAGGAGATAGCTGGGAAATTCCAGGTTTTTGTGGGAAAGACATGGGGAATCCACGATAAATGGAGGTGTTAATGGGAAAATCATAAGAAAATCATGAGGAAAACGTGGGAAAACGCGAATTTCCCGAAGTAAAACGAGGTTTCTAGCGGATTCTAGCGGATTTTAATGAGAACATCATCGACTTGTACACCGGAGGGTAAATGGGATGTGGAGATATAAAGATTGGCATAATATTGACCAAAGAACAGTAGTTTTTAGCCAATCCTACCGATATGGAACATGGGGATGGGTCAAAACCTATGAGCTGAACATTCATAAATAAAAGCTATTTTAAACAGACGGGGTTCCATGGTTTTGACACATAGAGACACATAGTCATATAATTGAGATACATACAGTATATATATACACTGTGTATATATATATGTATATATATACACCTGCAAATATATATATATATATATATGTATTATATATATATATATAATCTGGATGTAGTAGAATGGCAACGGCGGATCCATAATCATAAACCAGCCCCAGTTTGTGGTTCATGAACTTGCCAGTGGCAGCGTATGGGATGATGTTGAACATGCCATCCCACCAGTCGAGATGGATAACATGGACTTTTCACCCCTACATTTGGACCTTTCAAACAATTTAATTAGTGTACTTTGAAGGATCAATTGAGGGTCACGGTAGCTGCCCGGAGGAAAAATCTCGGTTGAAACAGTCCCTCAGTGAGCCTCACTCCGTTTCAAATCCTTAGTTGTTGGGAGAATCCAGAGTTTTTGAACATCCAAGATTCCTCGCACATCAATGGAATCCTCATGTCAGTTGGTTGTTTCGTTTTGAGGACCTAACACCCACATTTTTCTCAAATCAACTGTTGATTAAGTCCCCATTTGGTTTGGTATCTGCATTTGGTCGCCCAAACTTGAGACCCTTTTGCTCGTAAAATGACCACTTTGAATGGTAACCTCCTAATTGTTGGTTTTATCCCTATTTTGGATGATGCTACCCTCTGGTAACGGGGCAATGGAAAATCACCATTTGAAATATGTTTTTCCCAGCTAGAAATCTCCAGCTAAAGGAAATTTCCCAGCCATTTTTGATGTTCTCCTTCAGTCATCAGTTGAACTTATCAATCGTAGCTCAATTATCCATTTACTCGATCAGTCATTCAGAATCATCCAATCGAAGCCCTGTTTGATTACCAGAGGATATACCCAACTATTAACCATTATTCACTATTAACCACTGTTAACATCTATTGACCATATGTTTTTTCCATGGATTTCGCCATCAAAACCTTCATTTTTCGTGGATTTTCCCATGGATTTTGCCATGAACAGCCCATAAGTCGAGGCCGAGAACGTGGCGGCCGCGCAGTCCTTGGGCTTCCAGGGCCTGCTCTACGACGCGCGCAAGGCGGCCCAAGGCGACTTGGCCAAGGCGGGACATGTTGAGATATCATGGGATATATATATAATTCTTGTCACACCATGATCTACGATATAATATATATATAATATATATATATAATATTTATATATACTGTGTATAATATATATATATATATATCATATTTATATATATTGTGTATATACTGTATATATATAGAGTATACAGTATATATATAATTAATATGTATGTATATATATATATATTATGCTGCATATATACATTCAATTGGCTATAATGATGAGGATATCATGGGATATCCAACAAAATGATACTTCGGTGTGTCTGAGATGTTGAGATGAGAAGTGTGTTCAAAACCACTGTTTCCCGATGATTAGTTCGGGGGTTATACTTCCCAACGTATTGGAGATGATAATATTCCTTGAACTGAGAAACCTGTTCTTAATCCACCAGTGGAATGGAATGACTGAGGGTGTTGAACATTGCTAAATTGGGATTTTATAGAGACATAACATGTAGTTTAGGGATATGTTTGGGGATGAAAGAAGAAACTGCGGAAACCGCTGCATGGATAGGTTAGTACTTCAATTTTTTGATATACTGTGTATATATATATATACATACATATGTTATATATATATATGGAAGTAGTCACCCCCAAAAAGATTTTTAAAAGTCGAATTCCCGTGGATTCCCATTCGTGTGACCCAACGATGCCCATTTCGGGAGGCCTTGAAAGACCTGGGCCTTCCCTTGTGAGGCGAGGAGAGGGAGGTCCTCCATGTGACATGGAGGTCAAAATGGTACCCGTTTATGGTATCCGTTTAAGTATAGCTGGTGAATGTTTATCCCCCCAAATATGGTAATAATATGGTAATAATATAGGTTTTGACCCATCCAGTGGGAAATAGTGGGAAGGTGAACTTTTGGAACCCGAGCCCATATCCCTCCCATGGTTAGCCCTGAATTCGTTGATTCCTCTGGCAAATCCTTGCATGGCTGGAGCAAAATTGCAAGCGCAATGCCAAGCAGAATTGCTGCAGTGGAATTGGTCAAGTTGACCTTATGATCTTGGCATATCGTGTCGTGATACATGTCCAAAAAGAAGACAGCCACAGATCCGGTTCGTATAGAACACAGATTTACACAATATGGGAATGGGGATAGGTTGATACCTATGATACTGACGATGTCCAAAGTCTGAGTAAAACCACAAACGGAGAGTTGGAGAGTTGCCCCAAAGCTTCAACGGAACGTACAGATCTTTTTGTTTTTTAGGTCACTGCAATCTTTAGTGTTATTTTCATTGATAGTATCCACATTACATGTGTGATCTTTTTGAACGCATTGCTGTTGCTTCATCAAAGAGGAGTTTTTTTTTGTGTTTTCTAAGCAGGATATCACCGATATCACCCAGGCAACCCCGGTGAAATCTACCGGGTACCAATCCCCACAGGATGATTAAAGGGCGCCTTTTCGAGCACGCGCCGCGGAAAGCAGCGCCGGAAAATGGCACCATTTTGACCAACGCCGGAGGGGTGGTTCCACCGAGCCCCGAAAATTTCATGATGGAACTGATAAGACCTGAAAACGGGATTGATGATATTGATGGGTTTTAATGGGATTTAATGGGTTTTAATGGTGATTTAATGGCTTTTAATGGTGACTTAATGGGATCTAATGGGATGTACTGGGATATACCCTCTGGTTATGACTAACATAGCCATGGTATAGATGACCCATAGAAATAGATGGTTTACCGAACTTAATAGCATGGTGATTTTCCATGGCTATGTTAAATAACCAGATGGTACATGATTTTACTAGTGTTGCTAGTGGCCTTGGCCCTTGGGACTTGCAGGAAACGACATTGCCTGGCTTTTTCTTAGCGAAGAAATGCAGAACATCATGAACGGGTTTCAAACATCCAAATCATATTTGAAATATAGCGAAGATACGTTGCTTACTGGTGCTTAGTAGGGAATTTTCGGGAATGATCCACAATAACTATCAATAATAATCCCAGCAACCCCCAGTCCCATCCATTCCCTGCTAAGCACCAGTAAGGTTGAAATTGTAAGACATCATTTCTCAGTGGGCGGTATTTGAGCACGCTGCAGTTGCACTGCGAGTCTCAAGAGTCAGACAGTTCCAAGGTCCCCAACCTGGCTCTGTCTGAACATGGGGTTTCCAAAAATGGGGGGGGTTCGAAAAATGGGGGTACCCCACTGGCTGGATATATATATATATATATATATCATTATATATTCTGTATATCATTATATATTATATATATAATTATATATATATACACACATATATATATACATACATAAATATGTTACATATATAAATGTATATATATATACACATTATATGGGAAAATCCAAAAACATGGATGATCTGGGGGTACCCCCCATGACAAAACGGACACCTCCAAAGTCCGAAAATCCTCTGGCCGTGGGCATTTTCCTTGAGGCCTCGGCTCGAACTCCGCGAATGGGCAGGTCATGGCCCTGGATTTTGCTGGACTGGCCAGTCCAATATGTTTCAATAGGAACATGAGGTGTTAAGCCTGTTACCCTCTGGTAAACTAAGGTAGCTATGGAAAATCACCATTTTTAATGGGAAAATCCACTATAAATGGTGATTTTCCATAGCTATATTAAATTACCAGAGGGTAAGCCAATTAAAAGCCATGTTTTTTTTTGCTTTTAGGAATGTCTTTAGTTTTTTTTGGCCTAAGTCAAAGTCAAAGTCACATGGGGAATAAACGTGATGGACATTTGATTCCGCACAATTTTTATCCTCCAAAATGGTTGCAATTCGGCTCCGCTGTGTCTTCTTCGTTCGTAGCAACTCATCCTCACCATGCATGAGAGGAACAGCAACCTGATGAGGCACATGTTCGTCCAACAAAAAACACCTACACCTGTCTTAGTTTTTCTGGGCAAATAGAACTGCTCCAACCCATGGCATGACAACCATGCTCATTCTTGTCCCGCAGCCATCGGCTTACTGAACCTCCATACATACTTCGGGCTGAAACCTTTGCGGCCCGACAAAAAGCATCCAACAACACAGACATCTGCCTGCAGTGCTATGCAACCAACATTGGTACGTAGTCCCAAAAAAAACTTGAGCTAACCCCCCTTGCAGATGCAGACAAAGTTGGAATTTACAGAGATTTTTAAAGCGCACGCCAGAAACAGAGGTTGGGGTATCCTCAGTGGTGTGCTTCAGAACCAACTCTTCCAACAATTTTTAAAGCTTAGCGCTTGCTGCGGGATTTTGCCGATGAGGATATACTGGCTGCTACTCTTTGAGGCGCGCGAACAATGCACCTTTTTGTGATAGCTTCGCCAGCTGGGCTCCCCGAAAGCCAGACATAAGGTCGCCTGGTCACCATGTCACCTAGTGGTATGTTGAGTGTTTATTACTAACAAGGTCACGCATCATGCTCTGAGACATGGCGTTCAATCTCTTGCGAATATGAATCAGGCCTAATGGCACGACCTACGACATCCTGAAGTGAATTGTACATGACTCACATGACCCACGGACGATGCAGTCCGATCTGAAGCCCGGCGCAAAAACTGTGGAGGCCTGGCAAAGTCTTGCGCGGCCAGAGCATGTGGTAGTGCTGCCTCAAGGCAACGAATGTGGATGGCTTTTCCACCCATTTCCTGGGGGATATACCCAGTTGGCCTTTTTGAATGCCGCCCTGGCCGCTTTGGACACGCAGGGACGACAAAAGGGGAGACCACAACTGAGATTCCCCTGACCAGGAGGGAAAACTCTCTGGATGATGAGATCCCAAAGCATATTGGGCGAGGATTTCCGCACTCCTGGAACTGGTTACAGATGTTACGGGGAAACATCTAGAGGAAAATCCTATATTTGAAGGTCAAAATCTATGGGTTTCCTGTCATTTTTCTGTTCGGTCCCAATCGATTTCCGCAGGTGCTATCGGTCTCTCCACACGCGGCAAAGCTCTGCGTGTTCGAGTGACTTCATCGCTTCAGCCCACGGAGGTTGAGGACGAGCCCAGAGAGGCCAGCGATCGGCTGCTGGTGGCTACAACGTTTTGATGGTTGTGGTTTCTGAACTTCTTTCTGGCAGGATGTTGATGATGTGGTGTTGATAATGATGATGATGATGATGATGATGATGGTGATGGTGATGGTGATGATGATGATGATGATGCTGATAATGATGAGGATGATGAGGAGGATGAGGAGGATGGGGATGAGGATAAGGATGAGGATGAAAATGATGATGATGATGACGATGATGATGATGATGATGGTGATGGTGATGGTGATGATGATGGTGATGGTGATGATGATGATGATGATGTTGATTATGATCATGGCGATGATGATGGTACCGATGGTGATGATGAGAATGATGATGATGGTGACGGTGATGATGGTGACGGTGATGATGATGATGATGGTGGTGGTGGTGGTGGTGATGATGATGATTGCGATGATGATGATGAAGATGGTGATGATGAGGAGGAGGATGATGAGGATGAGGATGATGATCATGTTGTTGATGATGACAGATGATAGATGGTAGATGATAACCATGAAAATGACAGGATGATGATGATGAAGATGGTGATGGTGATGATGATGATCATGATGATTGTGATGGTGATGATGATGATGATGAAGATGATGAGGATGATGAGGAGGATGAGGAGGATGATGATGAGGATGAGGATGATGAGGAGGTGTGGATGAGGATCAGGATGATGATGAGGATGATGATGATAGATGATAGATGATAGATGATAGATGATGGTCATGATGCTGGCAGGGTGATGATGATGATGATGATGCTGATGCTGATGATGATGCTGATGATGATGATGATGCTGCTGATGATGATGATGAGGATGTTGATGCTGATGATGATGAGGATGATGGGGAAGATAGGGAGAAGGATGAGGATGAAGATGAGGATGATGATGATGATGGTGATGATGATCATGATGATGATGATGGTGATGATAATGATCATGATGATGATGATGGTGATGATAATGATGATGATGATGATCATGATGATTATTATTATTATTATGATGATGATCGTTTTGATTTCGCGAAGGTTCCATTTCTCACTGGGCTATCCTCCTGAAGCAACACAAGACATGGTTAGACAGTGATAGACATGGACTTTGGCAGAAAGAATCGACCTAGTTTGGTTTGATCATCAATAAATGGTCCATTTTCATCTATAGCTGCCATAGCTATGTTAGTTCACTGGAGGGTAAATCCAATGTTTGTTGGCTATGTATATTGTTGTTGGCTGCCGTTGGCTAACCCCTTGATTTGGAACCCCCTGGAGGTGCTGCCGGCTGAAGCAGATGCGACCTTTCGCATTTTCAAGGGCGAGGAAGAGGTGCTGCCGCTGGGTTAGCTGGGTGAATGGTAGGTTGAAAGGGCCATACAGAGGTATAATGTATATATATATGTATATACAGTATTATATAATATATATATATATATGATATTTATAATAGATTATATATAAACATTGTCAAAACTATACATGTACAGTACACACATTTGGTATATGTATATAGATATATATATATCAATATACGGTGTATGATCTTTTCTCCTTGGATCTCCTTGGTCATTTTGATGATCGTTACCGGTTGCCATCGCGGCCGCCAGGGTATTGAAGTCGATGGAGTTGGAGCTGTCTCCGTTCTTCGGCCGGGAGGTACCCGGTTGACGGTATGGCGTCAGTTTTCACGGCCGGAGGTTCATCCAATTTCCAGAAAAATTCCCGGTGAAACAAAAGGTGAAACAAAAAATCCCCGAAGTTTGTTGAAGTCCCATTCAAGACAGAATCGAAGGCAAGCGACTTGGTGAGTCTTCGGTGATTTTGGCTAACCCATTCCCTTACTGTAAAACATTTGAGTTAAAATTAACATTGGTTCAATCTGTGGGTTCTCAAATGGTTCCCAATCCAACTGCTTAACTTGGAGTCAGATGTTAATTCATTCTCAAATGGTTTCCATGGGTCCACTTCCAACTGCTAACTTTGAGTGAGTGTCTAGGTACACCTTAAACATCCCCAAATTGCTGGGCAAAAACAAGCTGGAATGGGGAGATTCCTCTTGCGTCCAATGGAAATGGGTCAACAGCGAGGAATCAAGCTGAAATCAAGCTGGATGTTCATCACATCCCCCATTTCCATGGAAAATCAGGTGTGTTTGAAGGAATCCCCATGTCAAAGGGCCCCCACTTCCAATGTCACAAGGATGAATCACATGTTTTTTTTCAATTGAATCACTACATATATTTGTCCGATATTTGTTAGTAAATTCTCATACTGTACTTGGAGCATCATCCCACTTGGTGGTTGATAATCTCAGTATATCCTATTCACAAGTCCCCAAGTCCTGTTTTTTTTGTAAGATTTTATAAGAAGGCTACAACAGTTACAACCCCAGTCACCACTGAGGTCATCCTCCACGTATCAAACGTTTTTTTGAGTGCTTAGATAGGGTTGCTCTAAGCATCTCCAAGCCATGATAGGTAAATGATGATCCAGAAAGGGGTAACAAATGGATCATTTTGGCTCTAAGAATCCAGCCACTTTACCCCCCTTGCGCGCTTCATATGGGAGATTTAGAGTTGATTCATCGAACTTAAAATTGGTGATTGTCCATCGCACACTGATAGTTTACTGAAGGGTAGTTGGTGGCTCATCCCACTGACTAAATGGGTTATAACCCTAGCTCTAAGTAGGATAAGTAGGCTTAATCCATTTATAACTATGGTTAAAAAATGCCTAGTAAGTGGAATGAGCCATCAAGTACTTGAAAAAATCCAATATCCCATGTGATAACCCTACTATAACCATCACTTATAACCAGGATTCTAACCCACTTATAACGAGCCGTTGACCCGTTGAGCCGTTGAGCCGTTGGCCATTCTTCCAGGTCACATCCCCCGGCTGCGGCTGCGTGACTCGCAGGGGCACCTGCTGACTGAGAGCAGCTTGAGCTGCGGACAGCTGCTGAACCGAAGAGCACAGGTGGGGGTACCCCTCTATCAATGGGAATTCCAGGATCCTAAAATGGAGGTACTGTACCATATTTCAGGCCATATTTTGGGGGGATATACCATAACAAAACCCCCATTACCCTCCGGTAAACATACAAAAAACTATTGAACATGGCCCAGTCGAAGTAGTGGATTTATCCAGCTATAAAATGGTGGATCTTTCCATAGTTATGTAAACGTTTACCAGAGGGTACCCCTTTATCGCCGGTTGGTTGATTTCCTGGAAAATCCCAATCTGATGATGGCCTGGAAAATCCCCCATGACGGAAACCTCCAGAGATATTTATTTCATCCAATCCTTATATAATGGCACGGAGATTTTTGTAACTATAGATGAGATGTATATATAAAGGATTTATAACTATAGATGACATCGACATTGATAGAATGATGTATAGATCGATATTTGTTAAGTGATCCTACTGTAGTGATTTATAATGATTGAATGTGTGTGTATACATATGTATATATGTATTATATACTATATATATATACATATCGAGACTTCGAGATACTTACAGATGTAGATAGATAGATAGATAGATAGATAGATAGATAGATAGATAGATAGATGGATAGACAGATGGATAGACAGATAGATAGATAGATCGATAGATAGATCGATAGATAGATAGATAGATATCCCAGAGATAGGTAGATATCCGAGTTAGAATGTTTATAAACGGGCTAGCATACATTTCATTTGCAAGTGATATATATATATATGTATATATAGCCTCGTCCCTGCTCTTGGAACCGCGCAAACCTGAATTAGGTTGGTAAAACTTGTCAATTCCGTGACGAAATTTAGTCGCGGAATTGACAAGTTTCATTAGGGTCATCATCATCATCATCATCATCATCATCATCATCATCATCATCATCATCATCTGCAAGTTCACATGAACGTTAAGTTAACATCCCACCCCATCCCCCCCCACCCCGCGTGTGCGTAGCATCAACTGCTTCTGCAAGTTCACATGAACGTTAACATCCCACCCCACCCCCCCACCCCATCGTATGTGGTTCCAGGAGCAGGGACGAGCCTATATATATATATATACATATATATATATATATGTATATGTATATATATATATACATATACATATATATATATATATGTATATGTATATGTAAATATGTGTATATATATAAATATGTATATGTATATATAACGTATATATATATATTTCAAATAGATACTTGTATGGTTATATAGTAGTTTCAAACCAGTTCAAACATATATCTGAATGGATAGATTTTCCAAGGAAGATCGGAAACCGGTGGGTAGTGTGTTTATGCAGCGAAATTTGGAAGGATTTAGGATGTGGCTGAAAGCTGCCGGCATGGGGGGAATGGAGGAATTGGGTGACTTCCAGTGCCCCATTTGGGCACCGCTAGGGCGGACGTGTGCTCCTTCAAAAGCCCTTGGATGCAGGACACCGAGCCGAGCTGGAACTAATTTATGGTGGCACCAGGCTCTGCGGAAAGAAACCTTCCTCAAATCTTTTGTGGAACCTTAAAAAGTCGCAATTTCCAAAGGAACCTCATCTTCCAACATCATTCTTGGGTTCGAAAAGCAACATTTTTGGGCTGAAACACCTTTCGATCTGGAGAATCTCTTAGCTCTACTGCGGTGTTGTTCATTGTAGCATTCAGATGCATGCAGAGGAAAACAGAACAGATGTTAATGTATCGGACATTCTTCCAACATTCAAACTCTCAAAATAGTTATCTCTTGAGTTCAGAAACGGTATACAGTCAGATTTTCCATATAATGCTCTTAGGCCATCTTAGGCCCAAACATCAACATCTTTTCCACCGCCCACCTCGCCACGGACCGGATTCAAGAAACCAAACCGGCCTAACCCCGTCAGGAGCCTGTTGCGAAGCCTGCCAAGCCAATGCTTCCTGCACAGATTGGTCAATTAGCAAAGGGAGCTGCTACTCAGCTGTGATGTCAGCACGACTTGGGATGTCTATTTGGGTGTAACAAATGGGTAGGGTATGACTTAGAACTCTTAGAAAAGCTGGACGTAGACGTTACCAGAGGTTTTTTGTTGCCACTGTCTCACAAAAAACAGCTAGTTTTGAGGGTTGAGAGTTTTGGATCCACAGTCTTTACGAAAAGTCTACCGCTGAGGTGTGCTCCTACAAGATGCTGAAGGCAACACCTTGGGGAGGGTAGAAGTTCTGATATCCGAGTCGTCCTCAAAAGTATGAGTTCTCTCAAAGTGTCTCCAAATCTCTCAGTACTTCCGCTCAGTCCATAGATATAGCTGATTGAAACCTTGGTGAACTGCATGGCCATGTATGGCCACTCAAAACTGAGCTGACTGTGACTGGAAAACTGCGAAACCCATGGACATCACCTCCAGCCTCTGGGAGAAAGGTCGGTCGAAAAACTGACCGAAAAACTGTGATGAGTTTTTCGCCCACAGACTTGCTGCAGAAAGACGCTGCGTTTTGACTCCAAGTTGGATGGTGTTGGATGTTGCATGGTGATCCTAAAAGAATCATAACACACAACGGTCAGCCATTCCAAACCATTAATTCATGTCGTGTCACAAATGGTGACATCACGACACGTGCTGAATGACGATCTTCTGTCCTGTGAGCTCTTGGCCAATTATTCTTGACCCAAAAAATGCTGGCATAGGCAAAAAGCCATGGATATGTTTTGATTTTGCGGAGTCTAGAATCATTGGAATCATTGGCACCCCACAAAGTCACTGTACCACGAAGAAGTCACAGTGTCCATTGGTACCTGCCTATGTGGTCACCGGGGATCTGGATCAGTGCCTTTTCGCAGGTTGGACGCCCGAAGAAGGCGCCATAGCAGGAAGGTGCGCAGGATTACAGCGGCCGGAGATCAGTGGAATCCCAGTCTGCTGGCCATCCGTTGGCCGTTTTTGGCACCACTCACCATATCAATGGCCATTTCAGGAACCTAAATTGGAGGTACCTACCATATATAAGGCCTATGTAAGGGCTATGTAAGGGAATATCCCCACAAAATATGGCCTGAAATATGGTACTAACGTACCTCCATCAATTGGATCCTGGAATTCCCATTGACCATATTTTGCCTGCAAGATTTGGTTTCAGTACCCCCAAAAGTTGTGATATGGGCCTCCCATAATAGGATGGGTGTGTATCCATGCAAATTCTGTGGAACTTCCTGCAGTGATATCCCTCAGATCCCATAGTTTTGACTTTTTTCCCATGAAAAATCACAAAAAACATCCCACCGTTGATCCTCATTTTCCCATAACAATTGCCATAAATCCCATGGTTTATCCTCATTCTCCCATGAAAATCCTCCTTTTCCCATTTTCACATCCTCATTTTTCCACGGGTTTTTCCCATGAAATTCCCATGGAAACATGGCCACGAAATTGGATCCGCCAGGTCGCAGGGTCTTCTGCTTTTCAACAGCTCGGGGCGCCTCTACGGGCGCGGAGCCGGGCCTCAGGATGCGTTGCAGCTGCTGGCGGAGGGGTCACCGGTGTCCTTGGTGCCGCAGCTGAAAAAAGCGGGAGAAATCTCAGTGAAGGTGGTTGAATAACGGTTTATATTTGATATAAATACGTTTATATATGTTTATATGCTGAATTTTGATGGAACATATAAGAATAATGGTTTATCCTTAAGATAACCAATAAAGATAATACAGATAATCATTAAGTAATGGTTAAGGACTTATGAACCAAAGATAATAATGGTTAATCATTAAGATCTTTAGTTAAGAAGTCCTTGGTGAATCACTGATCTTTATTGGTGCAGCTACTTAAGATCTTTATTGGTTAATTGATGCCACGTTATTAACGATGATTGATTAACCACATTTAACCACCATTGTTCACCATTCTCGCCACTAATCATAATGATTAACCATTATCAACCATTATTAGTGGTTAACTAATCATCAACCATTTATTAATGATCATTAATCACCCATCCTTGACCCTTGATCATAATTGACGGTCCCAGCTGAGTCACCAATAAAGATCTTAACGATCGAGCAATAATGATTTATTATTAACATCTACTAACCACTATTAATACTATTAATTACTCAAATATCTTAATTAACACATATTAACACCAATAAAAGATCTTAATGATTAAGCAATCATGAGTATTCACCATTATTCACCCACTGTTTGATGGTGGCACAAATCCCAAAAGATTCTCACTTAGTTCTGAGCAATGCGGGCAATGCGTTAGAATCCCTGATGGTTGATGCTCACGTGTTAAAAGTTATGCTATGTTTTTTCAACAGGGATATGGTGATTACGGAGCAATTCATGAACGGGGATCACTGGAACTTGACTGATGGTAGGACCAACGGGGCTCCGGGCAAGTTGAGTCAGTCTTGAATTGGAGATGTTCTAAAACAGGGAAGACCGTCCATGGCTCAGTTAGGGCCTTCTTTCTCCAGGTCTGAAAGGGGTCCCTTCCAACCACTCCTGACCCTTGACGCCGTTGCGTCAAGATTCCAACTGGCCACACCACTTACAACTTTCATGGTTCTTTTATGTACAGTAATTAAATTGAAATATTTTGATCATAAAAAATCATAACAGTTGTAATTTGGTTACCTACTAATTATTTGCGGATATTTGAAATTGCTATAATTTGCGAACCATCTCATCACTCCTACTTCCAGTTGCATCATTCCAGTTTTGACATGATGCATTTCCTCGGAAATGATGGTCATTCCGAGGGACATCACCTCATTTTGGGCATGGTTCGCCACAAATCCCATCATTGGTGATTTCATGGCCAGAAGACAATGACTTCTCATGCAAAAATCCCCAGCTGGAACTGGATGGTTGAAGCGGGGTTCCAATTCAGGCGAACCGAGCCTCTTATGTGCCCTACTTCTACAGCAGAGATGGCTATGCAGCATTGGGACATAGCAATGTGACCCACTTCAACCGCATGGCCGCCAGGTGCGGTGCCGTAATTCCACTGATGGGGATGGGGTTCTGTCGTGTTTCTGATAACCAGTTGGCACAACTCGACAGTTCCCAAACTTGCCCATCACCGGCTTGGTGTTTTGCTCGCCATGGCAGGTATTTCTCAACCGGCCAGCAGCTGGCTTGGGCGTTTGAGGGCGCTTTCCAGTTGTACCTCATGCCTGCTGCCTCCCTTTCACGAGGTGCATCGGAGGAACCCCTTCCACTTGGCAAAACAAGTTATAAGCGAAGAAGACCCAAATGGCTAAAGCTTACTGGTGCGTTTTACGCAGGGAATTTTCGGGAATGATCCATTTCATCACTAGTAATAATCATCCCAGCAACCCCCAGCAACCCGTCCAGCAACCTACGTAAAACGCACCAGTAAGTAACAATGGTTAATAAATGGGTGATGAATAAATGGTTAACCACTAATAATGCTTGATGATGGTTAATCATGATGATTAGTGGCTAAATAAATGGTGAACAATGGTGGTTTAATGTGGTTTTCCTCAATCATTGTTAATAACGTGGCATCAATTAACCAATAAAGATCTTAATTAGCTGCACCAATAAAGATCAGTGATTCACCAAGGACTTCTTAACCACTAATAATGGTTGATGATGGTTAATAAACACCAATAAACCCAATATTCAGGACCCAGTTTTAAGGGCTCATGGAGGCGTCATGTCATTTCAGCCGACCTGACCAAACCGGATCCCGTTGGCCCCCCAAACCGGCTCCGAGGTACGAAAGCATATTACGCTCTGACGGGACGACCTGCACTGCCGCCCAGGCCTTGGGACCGGACCTTGGGGCCTTGGGGACGGCAAGGTCGCGTTCGGGGCTTCGGAGGTGTGCTGATTTTTTCGAGAAATTTTCGGGGCCAACTCGTGGAGCAATTTCCTAAAAAACCATGTGAGCTAGATGTGTGTATATCAATGTATATATATATATTAAAAAAACGGATCAACGAAAATCTATCAACATTTTTTTATTGTCAAGTTTCCTCATCATCATCATCATCATCAACATTGTCATACATTATCCTTCCACTCCCCCACACTGTTTGGGGTCTCTTGCCTGGATAATTATGATATAATCCTATAATAATAACTATAGTTATATCCTGATAATAGTTATGACAGATCCTATAAGAATTTTCATATCCTATACACATATGTTTAGTATTTTTTTTGATGTTCAACTTTGAAGATTCATTTTTCGAAGGTATAACCGGCGGTTCCGCCAGGCACATCCTGGGATTTATGGCCTGTCGATGGGGATGGAAAGATCAGAGGCAGGGATCCACCGGGGGAGATCCACCCCTAGTGGGTCATGGGGATTTTTACCTATGTAACAGAGGGGTAGGTATACCACCAACCAGTGTAATGTTAATAATCTTAATTGATGTTAATGGGATTTATGGTACATCATGTTCATTGATGTAAAAAATAAGGGTAAGTCATCCACTCTGGGCTATGTACAATGTATTTTATGCCATTTTCCATGTTTGTTTGCAATGCTATGTTTGTTGACTAGAATCTCAGGAATCAAGGACCCAAATAAAATAATCTATCACCTTTTTCTCCGCAAGTTGGGATGAGAAGTGGGAATGTGGTATTCTGATCCCATAGGGGTCCTCAAGATAGGTATGGGTTGGGTAAAGATTTATGGTATCCGGGGTTACAAGCTTTATGAGAAGACCTCGATGGCCAACATCATCAGAAAGGCAAGCTGTCACGAGTGTTAGATCTCAAATTCCGGCAGCCCTATTTCCCATAGGATCCATGGTGCTGGTATATATATAATATATATATATATACTAACATAAATGGGATAGATTGATTCAGATTGATGGGATGGAATCCATGTTATCATATATAGCAGCACCGTTAGGATCCTATGGGTTTCGAAGAAGGGACTCACAGTCATTTTTTCATTTTTCCTGGAGTCTTCCAGCCACTGACTTCTTTCACAGGTTTCACAGGCTTCACAGGTGGGGGGCCAGGCATTTGGAAGAGACTTTGGAGCAGTTTCGGACCGGAGGCTTCCCCCTGGCCTCCTGGCTTTCTTGGATGTGGGATATCCGGTCAAGATCATCGGCCCATCGGCCATCATTTTCCGGAGTTCCCATCCTTTTTGGGCAGCCCTTGCACATCAATCACTATTGGCATACCATCTGGTAATTTAACATAGCTATTGAAAATGGTCATTTATAGTTGATTTTCCCATTAAAAATGGTGATTTTCCATAGCTATGTTAGTTTACCAGAGGGTATTGGGTGTCCCCTCACTTCTCCCTTGGTTCCCTTGGTTCCAACAGCTCAGGACTCGGTGATTTTGGATTTTGAGTGGTTTGCCAACACCTCGGACTACGGCTTCAGAGACTCCGGGGAGTCCTGGTATGAGGATTTTGGCTGGAACCCTCAGCTCTTTTCAGCGCCAACTCAGCAACTGAAGAAGTATTTGGAGGACCGAATAGTTGTGCCAATTTCTTGGTGAAATTCGTGAAATTCCAAGTTTTGGCTGTAAGGTCGGGCTGAGGTGGGTGGAGCACTTTTTTTTTTGTTTTGACTAGATTCATCTCTTGAGTTCGACGGATGTGGGGCCAGATCTGAGGAGCCTCAAAAAAACCAGAGCCAGCGACGACTGACCCATGGCTTTTTTTGTCATTTTTTCGCAGATTGAAATCCCCCAACCTTGTTTTGAAGGTTTTTTTCAATAAGAAATGTTGGTGACTTCCTATGTTTGTTTCTGAATCCCCCAAGTTTTTTTGGGGCGTTTGCTGCTCATCATGCAGGAGCAGCAGGTGCATGTGGCGGGGATCCGAAAGCCACGGCTGGGGAACCGGAAGCTGTTGAACTTGGCGAAAGAGAAAGGATGGCTATCTCTGAAAGCTTCCGGCCGAGGCGATCCTGACAGACGTCTGGTGAGTCTGGTGCTTCAAAATCCAGCTGGAAGACTCGTAGATTGGGAGGACTAATGTACTATTAGTATCTAGTATCATCTAGTATCTAATAGTAGGTGCGAGAAAACGGGATTCAATTCATACACTTTACACCTGATGCTCAGTCTGGTTCCCCAAAGTGGCCAACCCTGCCCCCAAATGAACTCACCAACAGTCTGGGTTTGTTATGGCTCCACCATCTCCAGGTGGTCCCGAAAACTACGCTGATGGACGCTGGCTGCGCTTTTCGGATCCCCAGCTGCGGCGCTGGTATGCACAGCAGATGCGGCGCCATGGCCGGTGAAAGATGCAGATTTAGAGCCCAAAAACATGTTTTTTTTTTTGTTTTTAATTTTGCTGGATCTGGAATATGTTCCCAGTAAAATGGGCATATATGGACATATCATGAAATATTGAGTTTGCATTTTACTTGATATTTCATGACAATATGCTCATGTTTTTCGATGTTTCCTAATTTTCCGGGAGTTAAAAACAACACTCTTGGGGGTTGGAATTGAGAGACCTTCAGCAATGGAGGTATTTTCACCTAAACACTTGACACACCTTGCATATCAGACTTTTGTGAACATAAATTGACATCGAGACCTATCGAGATTCTTCTTGAATTTTTGAGATCTCACTGAACAGATGCATATTATTGATAGCTCAGGGACTAGGTCACTAGGTGTTGTCAGCACTTGGTATTTTTTTGGAGCATTGATTTACTTCTGAGGCACTATCTCGACAGCGGCATCTCATACTGGTGGAACGATGCCGCTGGGTCGAGATGTCTATGGGAGATCTTCAGGATCCAACAGATGGAGGTACGTAAGTACCATAAGTAGGCCATATTTTGTGAGGATATTCCCCTACATAGTCCTCATATAGGCCTTATACTATCTTATACTTATATGCTAGATAGCTCTAATTTAGGTCCCGGAAGTGGCAATTGAAAGTGCATAGGCAACAGACAGCTATGTACCTTCTAATCAAGCATTGTTGGCTGGGAAATCTTCATTTTGAATGGTTCTTTGTGTGGTCTGTAGATGTAAATAAATGGGGATGTGCTAGTGGCCAGTTTTGATTTCTGGAGAGTACATGTTGGTGTGGGTCAAACTTGGAGCCTGCAAAATTCTCTAAAATGAGTATATAGATTTTTTTGGGGTACTTCTCCAAGGCGAGCTCCCTTTCCGTCATGAAATCATGCAGCTAAGGAGGGTGAAAACTTCTACTACACCTATCATGACTGGAACCTTGCAGAGCTGGAACTACACCAGAGCCACCAGGTTTGGGACGTCATTGGAGTGGGTTTTTGAAAGGAGCTTGATGAAGAAATAGACCTGAAGATACTTTGGAAATTGGAGGATCGGACGCTGATTTGCTTGGTTTCTTCAAATTGCAATTTTTGCTGGAAAGATACGGCAAGATCCCCCATTTTTGATGGTTGAATCATTGTGTTTGCCAGTTCAATTCACCATTTTGGATGGTTTAATTTCATATTTCATTGTCCTTATTCTACAACCATGAAATACCACAGACATCCCTCCATTTTTCCGGGTAAAATCTCCATTTTTCTCCACGGTTCAGGGCCGCGCCACGTCGCGATTCTTCTCGCTGAACCGTGCCTTCACACCGGGCATGGCGCGGCTGGGCGCTGCAGTGTGGACGGGTGATGTGAGCGCGAGCTGGGAGGCGGGGAGCTAATGGATCCAACGGGATTTTTTTTAGGGATTTACCCTCTGGTAATTTAACATAGCTATGGAAAATCACCATTTTTAATGGGAAAATCCACTATAACTGGCCATTTTCAATAGCTATTTTGACATAACCAGAGGGTAATCAGGATTGATATGGATATGGACTTTTATGGATCTAACATGATCTAACATCTGGATTGAACATTGCAAAATTCTAAGGATTTTTAGATATTTAAGCATTCAAACATATGGATTCAACAATCCAAAGTAGTCATTTAAGATGATTTAAGCATCCAAGACAAGGATTTAAGGTACTAAAGCACCAAAATAAAGATTTAAACGTCGAAAACAGGGATTTAACCATCCAAAATAATGATTTATGGTATTATATGGCCATTAAATACGGTATTAAAGCACCAACGCCAAGATCTAAGCATCCCAAATAGGGATTTCATCGCTGAACATGGGGATTTCATGACGAAATATGATGATCACTGATCAAATGTAGACCTTTGACCTTATGGGAGGCGACCCAGAGATGTTGGTTGAAGCCTGAGTTTCATGGACACAGACAATACACAGAAAAACATCCTAGTCTGTTAGTGCAATCCCGAGTTCTTGTGGATCGAATCCCTGTATCATTGCTTGAAATTCCTATCGTTGTTGAATCATTGGATCGAACCCCAACTCTTGGATCAATGAATCATCTGAGTTCGTTTTCAAAAAACATGGGTTTTTCACGGCGAAAAACGACTCTCCTGACATTTTGCTGCTGAAAAGTCGAGCCACTTTCGAGAAAAAAACCATCTGCAGACATGGACAAATTCGGCAGGACCTGAGAAGGACCCCGGGCATGATGTTAAACTGGGCACTGGCCGGAGCGCCCTATGTGGCTTGCGACATTGGAGGCGCGGCCGCGCGGATCACCGCAGCCGGTGTCAGATTTTGACGGTAGGTGGTGCCCCATACTTGGCGAACTTGGCGATTAAACGGGTGAAGTATACAGAATATATATATATATTTCATATATCTATTCTGTACTCTATACTGAATGGAGTGTATGAACCAACGTATAACTGGAAGGGGGGCAGCACCTTGCAATGATCCACTTCTTGGAAGGACTAGCAATACACTCTGGAGTTGATACACCGAAAACTGAGGTTTTATTGGCAACGCCTCGTCCCAGTTGCTGGCCCGATGGTACCAGGCCAGGAATGGGCCACAGAGAAACAAAAAATTGGGTAGGTGGTGATGATGATGATGATGATGATGATGATGATGATGATGATGAAGGAGTACCCTAGTCGTTGAACAAACTTACAGTAGACAGGATCCACCAATGATCACTAGCAGCCATCGACCGGGGACACTGCATGATTTCAGCATCCAAAGGGGGTGGAGAACTTCAGGATGTTGATGGTATGTATTCTTCACTGATTCCCAAGGTTTTCCATTCGTTGGAACAAGTTCAACACCGTGTTGCACTTAAGTTGCCCTTCGGCTAAGTTCGGCTAAGTTCGGCGAAGTTCGGCTAGCCAGTTTGCTCCCGGTCACTCCGTGACCAAACTGGCACGATCCCTCACATCGGCTCGAGTACAACCAGCTGCCGAAACCTGCCACACCGCGAAGCCATGCAGCTGGTGTTGTTCGTTGGGTTGGCCTTGACCGTCCACTTCCTTCGTAAGGTCTCCCAGGTTGAGGCGCCGCAATCCGGGCATCAGGGCCGCACCAAGGGAACGAAATGGGAAGAACCAGGGTTTCCTGGACGAAGGGATGGTTTTTTTTGTACAGAAAAAAAATTGGAGGTACACAATTGATTCACGTGCTTTCTCTCTTCATCAACTTTTGCGGAATTTCAGCACCAACATGATTTCACAAAGGACTTTGGGGCATATATCTTGCAAACTACTCTTTCATGTTTTGGCTGTACTGTTCAAGACAATTCAAGACCATTTTTTGCTGGCCGGGGGAAAACCGGACAATACTTTTCTTTGATTTGGTGGGGTAGGGTGGGGTGGGTGGTGGGGGGTGGCGGGGAGGGGTGGGCTATCAACGCTCATGTTCACATGCACACTATACTGACGCTACGTTGCTGAGACCTTGCTGGCACTTGCATACAACAGGGTGGGTGGAGTGGGGAGTGGGGGGGTGGGGTGGGCTATTAATATTCATGCTCACAGCTCACATGCACACTATCTTGATGCTAACAAGATCTTCTCTTGCACTAACTATCTTGATATCTTGACGCTACGTTAACAGGATTGTTTTTTTTGGCACTTGCTAACTATCTTGATGCTACGTTAACAGGATTGTTTTTTTTGCACTTGTTAAAGATCTTGATGCTACGTTAACAGGATTGTTTTTTTTGCACTTGTTAACTATCTTGATGCTACGTTAACAGGATTGTTTTTTTTTGCGCTTGTTATATAACCATCTTGATGCTGCGTTAACGAGATCTTCTCTTGCACTTGTTAAGTATCTCGATGCTGCGTTAACGAGATCTTCTCTGGCACCTGCTGATAAGGGCGCACACAGGTGGAATCGATTGCACATGGAAGAAAATCAAAGATAAGATTCCACCCAGCATTCATGCTGATTCATGCTAGAAAGAATGGCAAGACCAACAAAGATTTGATGGCCTATCTGCGGCAGTGGCAGTGGCGCTCAAGGCACAGCAGAGACTGCGTGCTGAGAGCGACTGCCAGGCAAGTGCAAAAACAAGACAACATGTGAGGGTAAAAAGTGAAGTTGACCGACAAAGGGTTCCAAAACTGTAGCAAAACGCGTTTTTCCAAAAAACACATAATATATAATGATTTTGAACAGTTTTTCAGCCTTTCAAAAGGTGACAAACGCAAGGGACTGTGGCTTTCAAGGGTGAAAATACCGTCCTGTAAACCCCCCGCGCGGAATTTGTTGGATGGTTCGGAGTCCGGCTACTACGGGTGGAATCACATTTTTTCTGTAAAACCGTTTATGGTATAGTTTTCTCTCCCTTTTTCATCTTGTTTATTTTTTTATGTATCCCCTTGATATCCCTAGTACTATTGCCATCCCAATAAAATTTTACTGTCATGGTCTGTTTCATCCCCACTGCACCCATTGCAGCCTGATTTTTTGATATTTTTTGGGTGCTTGAATTGAAATGCTGCAAAAAAGAGTTGAGGTAAAGTTGCGAGAGCCTCACCATCGCTCTTCGGAGATATCAGTCGTGAGCTGGCTCAATCATGAGCCGTTCCACTGAGGCCTGTTTTGGCACAAGCACAATGACACCTTCCCCCTTCTGAACCTACAATGTGGTGCCCTATAGTTAGCTAAGTTGGTTTATAACTTCAATAACTATGGTTTATGGTAGATATATCGAACTAGTTAATGGGCTTTATAAACCAACTAACATCACTGGGGGGCACAACCTTTTTTTCTTCAGACCCATTTCTGAACATCGAAAAAAACAGAGCCGAGGTACTGCTGAACCCACCTGGCTTTCTTGGTTTGTTTCTCTTTGTTCATGAGGGGGAAGGGATTTTCATGAACAGCTGATATGGGTTTGTCTGAAAATAGTGTATCTCATATTCCAATGGATTATCACCATGTTCCCCATTAAAATTGCTATTTGTGGGTATCCCCTATTTTCAGACAACAGCTGATATGACGTAGCAAGCTACGTAGCTTGACATATAGTGGAGATAATGGCCTCAGCCAGCACTCTCCACCCGTTGCTAGCCGTGTAGTTTTTGGAGATCGCTCCAATGCACAGCGCTTAAATTCACCAATGGTGATGCAGTGGATGTAACTGCCTATCGGCTGACAATTCTATCTCATACATTTATATTACATTTATTGTCTATCTCTTGTAACATTCACTTTTCCGTCATATTATATACCCTCTGGTAAACTAACATAGCTATGGAAAATCACTATTTTTAATGGGTAAATCCACTATTTCTATGGTGATTTTCAATAGCTATGTTAGTTTACCAGAGGGTACAATATATTATCATGGCCTTCATATTTCGACCACCACTAAACGCGCTGTTTTCTCCGGTGAAATCCTCCCACGCTTTGCCCC